AGTTCTCAAGCATTAATACAAGTTTAACGTCATGACCAAAAATTGAAAGACGATACAAAAAGTGCATCCCAAACAAGATTTGGACTGTGATCGTTGTTAAGAGGGATTCCACTAAATGCTAAGAGAATTTTGTGGAATTGTCTAAAATATAATCTTTGTTAAGCAAATGTTGCGCAATATGTTACAATTTTTTTTATTTATTCCAGCAGAATACTTATTTCATATAACGAACATCAATAATAATTCACGCATCCGCTATGAATTTCAAAAATATTGTTTTAATCACTTGGCCACTTTTATATATAGTGCATCGTGTTGTCTCCATAGAATCCTGCTACGTGATCAATGTCTATCAAGCACCCCATTTTTGAAAAACAATTTTGATAAATAAAATTGACACATGTGCATCGTGTTGTCTTCATAGAATTCTGCTACGTGATCAATGTCTATCAAGCACCCCATTTTGAAAAACAATTTTAATAAATAAAAGTGACACAACACTAATCCATATTTCCAGATTGGACGCTCTCCTTTATCTTCAAAGTGCAATAAAGGAGGCTCAGAAAGATATATGATGAAATTTCGCTATTGAAATATGTTCTTTAATTGGAATTTTAATGGCTTCTCTACAATAATGTCTCAAAAGAGAGGCGCGAGGAGGATCTCTTTCATTCGCTGTCTTTTGACGACTAACAAAGACATCTTTTAACCGCGAAATGGAGGTACTACCTAAACGTCTATTTCTCACGAAGTCACTTTGAGCTGTCGTTACCTTCTGTGAACACCGTGCACTCCCTGAGAGCACGTAATAACGCCCAGACGCGCGAATTATACCCTGGGGATTAGAATCTGTGAATATGCAATTCCCTTAGTCGACATCCTCGTCGCACCTAATGGTTATCTGGAATCCACCCCGGCTCCGGTTGGAAAATCTATACCATTTTTAAGAGGATATGAAAGGTGCTAAGGGATTTAATCGACGGTGATAAAGTGAAATTCGTCTATACCCTTTTTGGTGATAATGCCATTTTGAATACTCAAGTGGGAACATAAGCTGGCGCGTCCCATTACCGACATTTTTATTTATGTTCAAGTCTTTTACGGTCCACGTTGAGAATTATACGAACTGAAGCGTTCCATATGTCATTTCAGTAAAATAATGGTAAAAAGATCGACGTAAACCTGTGGAAATCTTGGGAATTCATGACTGTTTATGTTTTGATGGATCAACGTCGCCATCTGTGACGTTTAGCTGCAACTAATTTTTTGCACTAAAAACACGCGTTACTCTCGGGATAAGCCAGTATCGTTGTAAAAGTACTTTCCATATTTCCCCATCTGACTCTGTAATATTCCATTTCTAGTGTATTCTAAATTGTTCGAGCTACCCAGGCACCGCGGAACGTGAAATATCCGTAAATTAATCGTATATAAATGTTTAGTGACTGATTATTGAGTGATTATATACATGCGTGTGTGGATGATAGACGATATACATTTGCTAGACCTAATTTAGACGATTAATTTACGTATATTCCACTTCATGGGTTGCCTGGGTAGATCCTGAAACTCCTCATTTTTTATTCTAAGCCTCCAAGAAGCGTAAAACGTCGAAAACGTGCCCGGACCCCACCATGTTGGTTCTAGTCCATGATAAGTAAATCAAATTTTGATTAAAAATGAAATTTTATGAGGTTTAGGACCTATCTTGAGGTCTCCGTGTTCACGTCGTAAAATTTGAAACGATTCGGTACCTCCAATTTGGAGAATACTTTCCCCAACGATTTGACCTCTCATTGTTGAATATATATAGACTGACTCCTTCATATCACCTTAAGGGGATATGAAAGTGACGTCCGAGGGGTCAATCGTTCGTGAAAGTATTCTACGAACTGAGTGTACCAATTTGTTTCAAATTTTACCACATGAATGAGGACACCCGAAGGAAGGTCCTGAAACTCGCGAAATTTCATTTTTGATACAAAACTTTGAAAATAGCTATAAGAAAATTATCGTGACTGTCAGGGCCTTCTTTGTAGCCTCTACATTCAGGTTGTAAGGTTTAAAACGATTATTCGGTACCCTCAAATCAGAGATAAGTTTCATAAACGAGACCTGTTTGATGCCACTTTCACATCGCCTTAAAGACAATCGGGTCTCGAAGAAGTAAATTGTTTTCACTGATTTCCAACTGAATAGCCTCTCGGTTTGTTGTGTTACATTATTTTCACCCAAGTGTTTGTTCGATCGAAAATGGATCGACATCCAGTAAATATTCTTTAATATGATGTGTCTTCAACCTAATGATGTGGTTCATCGAAGATCTAGGTTCTTTAAACGGATTTCACAGATAGTCAACCCGAGTAATTCACTTTGGCCACCGAATACGATTGGACGTGGTCACGTAAACACCTAGAGCCGAACTTCGAGATAGGACAAACCACTAACTGTCCGATCCGAACTTTATGAGCCCTATGGCCGCTCAAATTTGCCAAACGGATTCTCGAATAGTTTCCCGATTTGGACTACTCCCCTGACCAGCTCCATTTTCCTTCCTGCTTGCATCTTCTGCCTGTACCATTGATTTACGGCCATAATTCTTCACACCTGAATTTTCTTCTCTGAACAGTCAGAACCCCAATTTTGAACCAACCACATTTTGGTCAATGTACTCAATATCGTCCATTCGAAGGAGTCGTTGCATAATCATTTCGCAGCCTGGACATCCCCTGATCATTATAGGGCTATCTAGTTATTCTATACCTTACGTCAGCAGACAATTTCTAGAAATATTACACGGTTCCCCACGTCACCCTGACCAGTCCGAACAATAAGCGTAATAGGGAGGTTTTGAAAGCCTCGAAAGGGATGCACAAAATATTTGTCCTATATTTTCAATATATTTAACGAATATCGTACATTTTGTAAATATTTACCAGACATTTGTAATATTTGCAAAACCGTTTACTTTAGAATATTATCTCTATATTATTTATATAATATTAGCTCCATGTGTTTTCATGATATTTTCCTACCAGATATACAAAACATTTCGTTTCATTTTAATACAAGTATTTTTTAAATATTATCTGTCGAATACGTTCTAAACGTTTTGAAAGTATTTAAAATAAAAATCACACGTTTTGCGCCCATAATGAAATAGCGGAACAAAAATATTAGAAAGATTTCTCGCGTTTTTTAGTACCAAATGAAGTGTCCGATAATAGTCATGAAGTAAAAAATGTATTTTTGTTACGTTAATAAATTAAAAAATATTTCTCTATATGTTTATAAATTATTGAAACTTAACATGTCATTGACATTTTCAAGAAATATTTCAGATATCTTCGAATGAAATCTACAAGAAATCTTAAAAAATCTGTCGCTTCAGATATTTAGCAAAGATTACAAAGAAATATTTAGACATTATTCTATACTACTAGGGGTAGGTATTTGAAATACATGCGTCTACTATTGACAATTTTCTTATATTTCGTATATCTCGCAATCTAGGATAATGGCTTATTATAAGACAAATGTGCGTGTATGCCTCAAAATGTATATTTGTTGAAAATCTCAATCATGTATTTAGTTTCAATAATTTAGAAACATGTATCGAAATTATATTTTTTTATATATAAACATATCACAAAAATACATTTTTTACTTTACGATTATTATCAGACACTTCATTTGGTACCCGAAAACACGATCAATTTTCGCAACATTTTCGTTCCGCTATTTTATTATGAGAGCAAAACGTGTAATTTTGCTTTTACGTATTTTTAAAACGTATATATTGTATTCGACAGATAATATTTAAAAAATACATTAAAACGAAACAATTTTTTGTATATTTACAAAAAAAACACGTGGAGCTAATATTCTACAAATATTATACAAATAATGTTCTAAAGTAAATGTTTTGCAAATATTTCAAATGTCTGCTAAGTATTTACAAAATGTAGGATATTTTTTCCTCCGTGGAGGGATAGGAAACACCGTTACCGGGTGTTTGTTGGCCTACCAGTAAAAAGATAATATTTTACGCGCGATATGAGGCAAGACCGATAACGAGAAAGTCCCCGTGGGACCTATTATCTGATACGGTTTAAAAAGCCCCTCTGCGTTTCATAACGACTCGAGGAATATGGGCGAATTAATCGCTCTAGATATTGCATGAGCCTTAACTATTCCTAAAATAATCATTTTAATCCGTTTTACGGTCGTTTCATAGTAATAAACATAAAACTTCATGCACGCAATTATGTTGCACGATTCGACAAACCAATACACTCTCTTCAGACCGTAAAAACTGCTAAAACATTTTCAGTTCATCTTTAATTCAATTTGTTTTTTACAATGAATCGCAAATATTATGATTCATAATAAATAATGGCAACAGAGTAATAATTGTAAAGAGCATGAAATATACATGCATATACCTTTTGCTTTATCTTAAAGTGATATGAAAGGCTCCAAGAAATTTAATTGATGTCGACATATGGGCTGATCCTTTCATAACACCTTAAGGTGATATGAATGTGTGATATATACATAACAAAAAGTGAAAATATTTATAAAACTCTTCTCCAAACTGGGTGTACCGAATTACCTGACACTTTAACGCGTGATTGTAAAGGCCCTCGTGAAATTTCACATTTCGAAAAAAATATTGTACTTATCTCGGACAAGAACCAGAAAAGATATTTTTTTTCGAAAAATAAAATTTCACGAGGGCCTCCATAATCTCGGGTTAAAATTTTAGATAATGTGGTACACCTAGTTTGGAGAAAAGTTTTATTAATATTTTCTCTTTTTGGTATGTATACATCATACTTTCGTATCACCTTAAGGCCTCCGTGTTCCCGTGGTAAGACTCGAAACGAATCGGTACCCCCAATTCGAAGAATACTTTCACGACTGATTCGACTTCTCCAACTAATGTAGGCTGATCCTTTCATGACACCTTAACGATGATAAATTACTGTTGATTTCAGGATACTTTCCGCTTCCTGCGGTTTACTGCCTCGCTTGGATATGCCTGGATGTGCTTTTCTGCACGGCCAGCATAATGCATCTGTGCACCATCAGCGTAGACAGGTACCTCAGTCTGCGCTACCCCATGAAATTCGGTCGCAACAAGACACGTCGACGAGTCACCCTGAAGATCGTTTTCGTGTGGCTTCTCAGCATCGCGATGAGTCTGCCACTTTGCCTCATGTATTCGAAGGTAAGTTGTGTTTCCAGAAACATTTGCACTGGCTAGGGCGAAAACTGTCCTTTAACCCTTTCGTCACGGCAGTTGTTAGGTCCCAACCTAACATTTTATTTTAAGTAATATTAAGAAAGAGACTAAGCAACGCGTCTCGCGCTCCAAAACGCTCCTGGAGACATGCTCTCCCTCGTTTCTTACCTCCCCTTTGTTTATCCGAGTACTTCCGCACCCCAAACTAGATGACAGCCCTGGGAAACGTCAAACATTCAGATTCTCTGGAAAGAGACGCTTTCCACCTGTTTCCCTTTCGACCTGTCCCCAAGCCAATCACATGAGACATTTCCCCTCTCAATCTTAAAAACCCACCAATAAGCATCCTCCTCCGCGCCTAGGAACATCTTAGGTCAGTATAAAAAGGCCCGCTCCGAAGGGCTCGCTCTCTGATCTATCGAAGTTTGAACTGTCTCCATTCTGTAACCTGCGTGCCAGACACCTGTAACTCTGGGCGAACGCCAGTCTCCTTGGGTTGACCAGTCTACGAGTCGTTCCTGTAAACCAAGAGGCATCGAAAATGAAGTGTCTTCGTTACTTTCCTCGACGAGGTCTTTGGCTGGTTTCAACCACCTGGAAGCGAATCCAAAGAACCAACCCACGAGGCCCAGTCCGATCGACATCCTCGGGCAATCGCTATCGCCGCTCCTGAGTAAACGATCCCCGACCTAAGACAGTCCGTTCCGCCAGACCCCACGCCAAAAGGGTGCACATTGCGTGTTGGCAGTCTTCGGCGTTCGAACTTAACGTCTTTTACCTAAACAACGCCTCCTTGACATCCGTTTGTATGTATACTTTCCTTACAAGGAAACATTCCCAAGTGTCCGCCGCCGACCTTACTGATTTTCATGTATATCGAAGAACACAAAAATCTAAGAGACACGTGTTTTTTTTATCTGCAATGGTCCACATTTACGGGGTGAAACAACCCCCGGAAGTTTGGCGAAGATTCGATTTTTATATTAATTTTTGTAGGAGCAGTGAAGGGATTTCGACGAAACTTGGCATAAACGTTTCTGTATAAAGACGGTGAAAACACAATACTGTCCAGGAATGCTACACCACCTCTAGAGGGTAAACTATCCTTCAGGCGAAATTTTTTTGTAATATCTGTTAAACAGACACTCCTACTTAAGTTCCACTTACGCCATGTGATTGGTCACGAGAAATGAGGAAATACGTGTTGTTTGCCTTTTGCCAATAAACATTTATACATCGGTTGAAAAGAATGGATGTAGGTGGTATATGGATATATCCCGACTATCTTTATTGGGTCATATCGTGACCAATTCATTGTACATAAATCCTGTAAACGTGCTAATTCCTCAAAATGTCGTTGGTTTTCATAACATGGAATTATTTATCAATAAATTAAAAAAACAGTTTAAGTGACTGAAATTGTTTCGCAACAGATTCGATGACGATATGACCCAATAAAGATAATCGGGATATACCCATGTACCACCTACATCCATTGTTTTCAAACGATGTATAAATGTTTATTGGCAAAAAGCAAAAAACACGTATTTCCTCAGTTTTCGTGGGCAGTCACATGGCGTAAGTGAAACTTAAGTAGGAGTGCTTGTTTAATAGATAACAATATTGTTATAGCATAACATATTGTTTTCACCGTCTTTATACAGAATACGTTTATGCCAAGTTTCGTCGAAATCCCTTCACTGCTCCTACGAAAATTGATATAAAAATCGAATTTTCGCCAAACTTCCAGGGGTTGTTTCACCCCTTAAATGTGGACTATTGCAGATACAAAAAAATACGTGTCTCTTAGATTTTTGTGTTCTTCACCATATATGAATATCAATAAGATCGACGGCGGACACTTGGGAATATTTCCTTGTAAGTGTTAAATAATAAGTGTTTTGTATTATTCCATTATTCAATTTCCAAATAAAAGTCTAACCTTGAACTTTTAAAAAATTAAAAGTTATCCCAATCGCTGATCTTCTTGTCTCGTTTCGATGGCCAAAATGTGTTACGGGTGTTCAAAATATACTTTCAGCGTGGTTAATCCAATACGGGTCGATACAATCAAATGATACTCTACGGATATGACAGAAATTGTTACGAAAGGGTTAAGGGGATGTTAAAGTGGCATCTGAGGGATCAATCGTTCATGAAACTTTTCTCCGAACTGAGGGTACCGAATCGTTTCAAACTGTACAACGCGAATACGGAGGCTATAAGAAAGTTCCTAACACCCATGAAATTTCAATTATTAAAAATTTGTTTATAGATATTTCTCAAAATTTGCATAAAATGAAGTTTCAAGGGTGTTCGGACCTTCCTTATAGCGTCTATATTCACATTGTAAAGGTTCATCACTTTCACATCCCCTTAAGAGTAAGAAATTAATGATATTTAATTGCCACAGCTGAAACGAAAACATGATTAAAATTATACTTTTTGCTGAAAATACTTGAAACTTTAATTAGTCGTTATTCTAACGTAATAAACTTATTTTACAATAATTCAGCGCATTTATTCCCACTATTTCAAGGTATTACATTTTACCGGCCATCGTGTAATTACATCCGATGGGGCACTTTGGTAGACAGTTTCGAAATGAAGTCTGTCAAGAATTATATATATTTGTAGAACACCCAAACCTACTGCAGTGGAAAGGAAATTGAATGGCTCGAAAAACCAAGTGGAAACTGCACAGGAGGTGGAATAAGATCGATCGGTATGATTAAATGCAGCGAAGTGTATAATTAATGCATTTCCGTTATCGATTTCTGCAAGGGTTACTATCGGCTTCAACCGAGGAGGAAACCACTTCCCATTAAGGGTTCGTTAAATTTATGTCCTCAAAGTGTTGCATCCGCGCAAATATGAGCGGCCATTCCGCGTCCGTCGATTTCCTCGGTACACCGGTACACCGGTACACCGGTACACCGGTACACCGGTACACGTACAAGTGTACGAGCGGCTCGAAACTCGATTCTCGTCTTACATTTAATTTCCTTGCTTGGCGCGAATCGGCATTATTAATTACGCCGAGGCTGGAACTTAGGAATTAGTCGTCCGGGGAATAATTCGCGTAATCAGTGCGCACTCGTCCTGGAAATTCGCGGAAGAGACCGCCGTTCCTGGAGAGAAATTATGCCGGGGCTGTGCCCATTTCGCGTTCCCGGTAATTTCATTAAATATTCGTTTGCCGGCAGAAAATTCTGCGGAGATGCTCTCGCTGACAAATCTGAAACACTTTCAACGACTCTTACATTTTTTCTTTCAACGGGCGAGCCGACAAAACCAGGAAACGTGGTCAGAGCTGACTTTCAAGGACACTCCACACGAATTCGCGTCCCGATGGTGTTGCATTTATCGATAGAAAACGATCGTTTGTGGAAGATGCACAATGTGTTGGAACGTTTAAAAAATAACAAACATTCCGTGAATGTTGCTAACCTATAATAATTCTACTGTCCCCAGTAGCGCAAAATATTTCTCTTATATTTTCTATACATTTAACGAATATCGTACATTTTGTAAATATTTAGCAGACATTGGAAATATTTGCAAATCACTTACTTTAGAATGTTATTTTTATTATTACTTTTAGTACTTGATAAACGATCGCTTAAGGTGAAGTGAAACACGTCGACAAACTTGATCAACGTCGATAAAGAAGATTTTTCTAAATGCCTACGTTGCCGACGTTCGTTTTTATATCGACAGCTGGGTCGAATTATATTGGGTATTGTACCAAATGGCATATTCCACCTGTCGTTTTCGTACAATAATTATGAAGAAATCGAAGTAAAACTCCAGAAATCCTCTAGATTCGTGCCTTCTGGGGCCCTAATTGACTGCGGAGGGACACCCTGCGCCATCTGTGATTTCCAGGTCAATTAAATTTGCACTCCGAGACCTCATATTACCATCGTTTTGGCATAGAAGCGCATAGAACACTTTTTTTTGCCTTTATTCCGTTAAAATACGAGTTTATCGATTACCAGAGTGTTCTAAATTGTCGTAAAATTGTCCTGACCCTTTCGATTCTCATATCAGAGCCTTCGATAATTGTATATTGATTGAAATATGAAAGCTCGACGCCATTTTGTTTCTAGTCTGGACTGAATTAAAAAATTCTGATGAAAAATCCAAATTTTGAATGTATCAGGACAATTCTTAGATGATCAGGAGTGATGTGTCAAGGTTTCGGATAGTTTGGTCTAATACCCTTAAAAAAAAAGTGTTGTATTCGAATCGACTGATTTGAAGAATGTTTCACTTCACCTTAACGTTTTTCGGAAAGTTAACCCTTTGCGGACGGGACTTTTCCTTTGTAAAGACTTTTGGGCGATTCTCGGCAGACGCGCATTCGCGAAGAGTTAAATGACAATTAATTATACGTAATTATAAATCGAGAGATGCACGAGTAGGAACATTTTCAAACTCGCATACAAATACATTAAAATGACGTCAATCCCAATTGGTAAAATAAGTAAATTCGTAATGATTCGTGTACTTGGCTTTTTAACATAATTCAAATGCTTTTTGTATGGAAACTGTATATGTAATACGCATTTTTGGTGTAAGAGGATCACAGCATTCCTGTAATCGGCGAAGTGTTTTTGTGGGGATCTCACATTACTTATGAGATCTTCCGTCCCTTTTCCGATTTAGGGAGCCCTCCCTTCATCTTTGCAACCCCTGTATCTCCTTACCCATTCATAGGATTAGGAGTTAAAGCCGGAAAGTCTGCATTGTGCCGGCTTTTTGTCTGGTCCATCAATATCCCTCCTGAATGCTCCGTTCTCATTGTCCCCAGTTGCCATATCTTTTGTGATATCGCATTCACTTATTGTTAGCACAAGCTTTCATCCATTATCATAACGTTTTCCGCAAGTAAACCGAAAGTCTGTTAATCATACTCGGTCATAAGTATATAATAGGGGAGATCGAGGTGAAATGTAACAAAGGTTACAAATTTTATCTTT